GAAAATCGCGATTGAAAGTGAGAGGTGCTAGTTTAACATTAAGTTAGCACCTCTTTCATTAAATTACATACAAAATAAAAAAAATTATTATAGTATAGTAAAATTAAATGTTTTTTAGGTACTTTCCAAATAACAAAATTAATGTAACGATTTAAAAGATCGATATATACGCCAATAAAGTTTGATACATATAAAATCGATAAGAGTAAAATACCAGTTAAAATGAAGATAATAAATTGGTTGTAGGCTCAAATTGTTCCTCCATTTATGTGCTCTCAAAATATGCACAATGAGATTTTGGTGCTCATCTCCTTTGATAGGAAAATTATCCCCGAAAAAGACCATCCATCGTCTCCCTACAAAAGTGCCAGTTAAAATGCAGATAGCGAATTGATTGGAGATTCAAATTGTTCCTCCATTTATATGTTATCAAAATATGCACAACAAGAATTTGCTTGTCTCTTTGACAGGAAAATTACCTCTAAAGTGATCACCCATCGCCCCTTTACAAGAGTAAAGTGTCAACATTTTATAAGTTAGCGGAACAAAGTGAACAGAATCAATTCCAACTAACATTTTTATTTGTTGCTTATTTGTTATTCTTGTTTGCCAAAGAAAAAAATTTATTGTTCTGTCAGTTTTTTTTTAAATAACGTTCCGCTAAGGGAAGATTAAGATAGCGAAACAATGTACGTACAACAAAGCTAATATATTAGGTTAAGTAAAAAGTCATCGCGTTTTTTTAAAAGACATCTATCAGTAAAAACCGCAATTACTTTCTTACCAACAATATAAATATATCTTAATAGAGTAAAATTTCAGCTTTAAAAATCTCTTTTTTAAATTATATGATACGACAATTTTTAATGGAGTTATGAGCAATTAAAGTCAAAATAATTCTTTTATTTAATCCGCGATAACTCAGTAATCAAAAGTCGTAGGAATATTTAAAAAAAAAACGATTTTGTAGGGAAAGTATCAAGCTTTCACAATAGGTAATCGAAAATTTTCTCAAATTCGTTTTGGACACGTTACAAATCCACAAAGTGAGAAGAAAATTTTTCGTCTTTTTCAGCTCGTAGTTTTTGGTATGTAAAAATTATCAAACTCATATAAACTTAAAAAATGTGATAAGCTTTTAAAAGTAGAGATTTCAAGCTTTAAAACCCTTTTTTTAAATTTGAATTTCATTCATTATTGACGAAGATATTGTATATACAACTTTGAGCTAAAAAATACGCGATGACTTTTTACTCAACCTAATACGTAAAAATAACGTAAAATTTGTTCCTAATTTGTTGCTGTCGAAATATCCTAGATACTGAGATGTCGACTGATTTTGTTGCTTTCGAAATATGCAAAATATGAATTTGTTGCTTGCAAAATAAGTATAAATAACAATAATAAATTTTTTACTGGTACTTTACTCTTGTTCTGCTTGTACGCTGAAGTCCATCATTGTTATTTACACTTCGTAGGTAATAGATTCAGAACTAGGATATTTCAACAACGACAAATTAGCAACAAATTCCTACGTTATTTTTATGTAGATCGACTTTGTTATATGTATATTGTTCCGCTAGCTTAATCTTCAGCGGAACATCTTTTAAAAAAAAACCGACACAGCAATAAATTTTTTTCTTTGGCAAAAAATGAGCAACAAATAAAAATATTAGTTAGAATTAATTCTACTCACTTTATTCCGCTAACTTATAAAACGTTGACACTTTGCTCTTGTAGGGTGATCACTTCGGAGGTGATTTTCCTGTCAAAAGGGATGAGCACCAAAATCTCGTTGTGCATATTTTGAGAGCACATAAATGGAACAATTTGAGCCTACAACCAATTTATTATCTTCATTTTAACTGGTACTTTACTCTTGTACCAATGTTATATGTATCAAATTTTATTGGCGTATATATCTTTTAAATCGTTACATTAATTTCGTTATTTTGAAAGCACCTAAAAAGCACTTAATTTTACTATACTAATTTTTGTATTTTGTATGTAATTTAATGAAGAAGATGCTAACTTAACGTTAAGTAGCACTCCCCACTTTCAATCGCGATTTTCTACTAAACCGTTCAAGCAATTGGCAAAACAAAAATTGGTACTAGAGCACATAATTAGCACATAAAAAGCATTTAATTCTAGCATAGGTGCTATTTTGATTTTTTTGTGGAGGGGATGTTCAACAAACGTCTTAGATCTGTAAACTTCGCATCCTTAAATGCGAATTTCGACAAAATCTACATCGCATTAGACTGTCCACTTGTTCACATTTGTCCATAAAAAATAATCTTGTTTTTTTTTACCCCCCAAAAAATTATAACTAAATAAAAATTCCAGCACTCCTAAATTACATACGGGATTCGATTGTCCACTATGTGAATAATATTATTTTTTTTATGAAGTAAGAATGCCTATTACTTAAAGAAAATCGATTTTTATCCATTTTACAAGGAGAGTACACAAGAATAAACAAACAGAAAGAAATGCTTAAATACTAACAGTGGACAATCGAATCCCTACGTAATTTCGAGAAAAACGCACTTACGATTGCAGTGACGAATTTTTTTTTAACGTTTAATTTGTTTATAACTTAGTTTTTTAGACAAAAAACAATTATATATGGACATATGTGTCACAGGTTGAAAATAATTGTAGACGAGAAGATTATACTGATCGATAATATTACATTATGAATAACAATGATAATGTTCAACTAATTAGATTTTTTACATATTCAGGGTGTCATTCATTTCATTTCATCATTTTATTTTTGCACCGAAATTTCATTTTTACATAAAAATGAAAATGAGAGCAAAATACAACCGCCAATGATCTTGACAAATGTTATCCAGATCATAATCCTGAACAACATTTAAGAGAATGCTAAAATCGTCCTACTTTACCATCATTTCCACTCGGTGAAAAATCTCCAAATTAAATTTACGGTTTGCAAAATTTTTATTACAGAATTAAATCCGCACAAGCAGGAGTTCAGCTGTTTCAGGACTTTTCAGCTGGATTTCAAAATAAGCATGCAGCTTTGGTCACATTACTGGAACAAATGATACCGAGTTTGTAGAACTAAGATTGAAAATCTATAGAAGAAAAGTTTTTTCACCGAATGGAAAATACGTATTCGGAAAATATGTATTCGGATGCTTTGCGAAGACTGGGAATGTCAACAAAGCCGAAATTTCGTGTAGTAATAGTTGCGATAAATGGTGCTGGCATAGGTTAGATAAGAACAGATGTACGAGTAAGACAGAATAATATATAATATAATGTAAGAAATTAATCAAAAATGTCACTATTATCGAATTTAGAATAAAAAAAGTCTGTATTATTGACCTCGATCAAGTTCGGTAATCGATTTTGGATTCCCTTAAGATGTTGGAGCGACGGCCGAATTTGATCGAGGTCGATAGTACAGACTTTTTAAATTCCAAATTCGACACCTTTTAATGGTGACATCTTTTATTCATTTCTTATATTTATTATATATCGTCTCAAATGTATTCATCTGTCTTTATCTAACATATTGCAACGCCATCTCTTGCAAGATCTCGAACACTTACTGCTAGATACAATTATTGCTTTGTTTACCGAGTCTTTCGCTCAGCGTTTGTATACACGTCATTTACAGATCAATACAAATCTTTCTTTTTAAGCTTTTAATCTTCTAGTTTCATAAACTTATAGAGTATTGTTTGCACGTAATACGCTTACAATTAGTGCTGCACTATCGTTTAGTCCATATAAACTATAAAACTTTATTAAGAAAATACCTATGTCAGGCTGACAGCTTTACGAGTAGAAAAAAATGTAAGTTTTAAATTTTTTTTTCGATTTTAATATAAAGTCTATTGCAGCATCACCAAATTTTGCATCTATTTTAATCGTGTAAAAAGATTTTGGGGTTCCATTCAGTAAATTCGGAGATTTATATCGATCTGCAAAGTGGCCACTCCAGCATTCCCTTAAGAAGTTTTAGTCATCGATCGAACACCTTGAGTAATGCTAATGCCGACAGCTTGTAACTTTCAAACCTTATAACTCGAAAAGTAATTAATTAAAAAATATTTCATTATAGTGTTTTAGAAAGCTCTTGAGGTAAGCTACGAGAATATGTAACGAAAAATAGATTTTATTTAAAAAAAGTCTTGCCCTGATCTTGACATCCAACGCCATCCAAGATCGAACCAATAGTATTATCTTATGCCCTCCTTGAAGTCAAATTTTTATTCGAAACATTTTTTTCTAAAATGCATTGTTCAAGAGATATATGAAGTCGTCATTTAAGATAAGATCCTGTATATATAGATATACTAGAGACGCAATATAATACGTTTTTTATAATAGTATATCGAACGGGCCGTATAATAGGATGTAAATATATATCAAGACAAGGAGATGAGGAGTTACGAGAGAACGTGAACTTTTGATTATACGCACTATAAATTTTCAAGCACGCACCATTAATTCGGGGGTAGGTGAAAATCCGGCTAAATCGATGAATCCAAGCAGAAAGTAAATAATACTGATAAATTATTTCGCGGACTATGTTGAGAGTCGTTTCCGATGCTGTGCAATTGGCATAATATGGATAATTAGCAAAAAAAAATTAATAACAAAATTTGATAGAGAATTAAAAAATTCATATTCATTAAGATTCTCGTAGAAAAACAGATTCATAGTATTTTCCTGTTAAGTACATAATTATAAAAATTAATCATAAAAACGATTAATTAAAAATAAGTAACAACAAAAGGAATAATTTTGAGTTTAAAGAATGGCCTTCGAAGTAATTATTGACCACAGCAAAGTTAAATGGCAAAGATGCTATTTGTACAGACAATGCATCGTAAATGGACGAAATCACATGCAACGCACCATTAAAACAGAAACAGATAAAAAAGCGTAACTACTATATGACTGCGAAGAATAAATTGTCGCTCAGGATACAAAAAGAATCAGATACAGAATAAAGATTGATTCATCTGACGAACGGATCACAACCGCTTGATCGAATCGAGATGGGTGCTCTTTCCTTCATGGTTTTTCTCTACCTATCATCATTGTCGGTGAGTAAATTACGCTGCTCGACGCAACATGTCATTTTAAGTTTGATTGTATTTTTCTCAGAACGCATATAATCTTGGAAAAGTGGCAACAACTGAACAATTAAGCAATTTCGTCAATATTATTAAAATACCGAAAGAAATTCACAATGATAACAGGGAAATCAAATTAGAGATTGTGGATGGCTCTACGAATCCGTTGATAATATCAAAACCTGTAGTTTCCATAAGAGACCCAACGAAACTGAACGTAGATTTTCAAGCTAAAGTTGAATCGAAAAATCTTCCCTTAAGTTCCATTCGAGGAGACGTCTCAACGAATGTCCAGCTTGCGAATCAAGCGAAATGGTTACAAGACACATTATCAAGCAAAAGTAAAGCTTCTAAAGAATTTTCGTCGGAAGAGGAATGGGTTAAAATTCCAATAAGGAGTCCTAGAGACAAGAAAGAAAAACAGGAAGAACGTGAATATTTTTATCTATACGTTCCAGATATTAAGGATACATTAAGAGATAAGTTTACCAAGGCGAGTATGCAGCTTGGATTAGTCGGTATCACATCGAAGAAAGACACGGACGAGAACGTGAACAAGATCGATGCCTTGATCATCAATAATCGCTCAAGAGGGAAGAAAAATTATATCTAGCTCTGTAAAAGATTAATCGACGGATCGATAACGAGTTTGATACAGAAACTGCATGGCAAGGACTGCGTGAAGCTCCCGAAAAGTGAATTTTATCTTGAATCAAATACGAAGAACGTGAATTGGAAGGACAGCACGGTTAAGCTGATAGGATTAAAAATCGGAACGAAAACTGGCAACGGAAAGGTAATCCTTCAAGACTTCGGGAGTGGAAGTAACAAAAATAAACAGCGGAACGGAGTGATGGATATCGAAACTTCAATTTTAGATACTTTAGCTAATTACGATGAATCGAGCATGAAAGCGACCGACAAGCATGGAACGGGTCTAAACATCAAGGTGCCTTTAACCGATGATATAATCGCTAATCTTTTGCACAACAGTAAACTTTCGCTATCCGCGTCAACCGCATTAAAAGTGTGAGAGAGTAATAATTAACGATTGAGTCCGTTAGCTATTTAATTTACAGCTTCGATTAATTATTTATACACATATATGTATATATGTATTGTATTTATATGTGTACAAAAAATAAAGACATTCATACTGTTAAACACGTTTTAATTCGGAGATTCACGAGGAAAAAACTTTTAAAACGAAACATGTACGCGTATTAAAATAGCAAAGCATAGTTTGCGTTAAAGATTAGATGTAAAAGAAATATTAAAGTTAAATAAATATTTAAACAAAATACTCTTGCTGCGGACAGTCGCAAAACGTTTCGTTTGAATCCGAAGTATGGGACTTTTAACATACAAGATCTATCCGCCTCTTTATAATTCCACATTAGCTTTTCCTGAAGAAAAAGGATTCCAGATCCGGTCTGAGGTCAATTGCCTCGACTTACACTCAAGGTTGGAGCGTGTGACACGGCCATTAAGACACAAAAGATCATTTGAAACTGTTGTAGCACATAATTAATCTTAACAACAGCAGCCGCGGCGCGGATATTCGCGGCGACTGGTGGCCTTCGTGCGGATAACCAGAATAAGATCTAAATGATTTTCCACTTTCAAGCTTCTTTATCTTGTAGCCCGACGTCTTGTAATATAGTATGATGTCGACAATTTATAAATAAATTAGCAAGGATCGTAAAAAAATTGTGAAAACATTACACTTGAAAATTGTTAATGAGTTTTTTCGACATGAACGTGCATTGAATTATCTCGCATATTATATGGGACGTCCTTTTTAATAATGTATTGAGATTTTTCAAAAACTATGTAGATCGGAAAAATGTTTTAAACAAAAGTTGTTTGATTTGGAAGAAGATATAAGAAGGTATTGATTTGACTTCATCATTAAGATCACTTTTGTAAGTAAAATATCCCATTTTTCATTACACGTCTTGTAGTTTACCGATCGACTTTAACATTATCCAAGGTATCGATCGATTCTTAAATGTTCAGGATCATGACCTGGATAACACTTATCAAGATCAAGAAGAAGGTTGTTCCTCTTATTTTCATTTTTACATAAAAATGATGCTGAACAACGTTCAAGAAGTTTTAGTCAGATATCTTGGGTAATGCTAACGCTGATAGAATTGTAACTTTCAAGCCTTATAATTCGAAAAGTTTCTAATGAAAAAGAATTTTATTATAGTGTTTTGAAAAGCTCTTGAAGTAAGCTACGAAACCCCCATCCAGCTGATCTCTCATCATCAAAATAAAAAAAACCGAATAACTCAGAATTAGGAGTTATTTATAAGCTTTCAAACACTACAAGAAAAAATTTTTGACTCGTCTCGATTAGCAGGAATTTTGATTTAAAGATGGAAGTATTGTATGTAAGTGGATGCCCACAGTCTCTTCCACCTTAAAATGAACAATAGGAAATCATTCATAGACTCAGAATTAGGAGCTCTTTATGAGCTCTTAAATCAGTACAGTTGCGATTTTTGGGCTCCATTTCTTATCCTTCAAACAACCCCAAAACAAGTTTACAGTCAAGAGGTATGTTATAGAAAATATTACTATATCTATAATTTCATTAATGCATATGGTTCTGGCATTGATATACAGAAATATATAATCCTTTATTTTTGAGCTGCAACCCCTTATCCCTTAGCAGGAAACCACCAACTGCCTTCGACACACAAGAGAGAACTATGTTAGAATATCGGAAAATAATTCATTTTGTGATGGAAAATTGTCTGTTGATTTAAAAGCTCTCGGAATATGCATACAAGTGAGTGAACATTTGAAAAAGATTACTTGTTAGAAGTAACATTTCAAAATACATTTATATGTTTATTTAGTCAATTTAATTTATGTTATTTTTATATTAATATAACATTTTCCATTGATATAACACTAGTTCAATTCCATGCAAATCGATTTACATATTTTTAGTGTTAATAAATAATTTAATTATTTTAATGTTATGAGTTATGAGGTTATTGTGATAACAAAAAATATATGATTAAAAGTCGAAATATTTATTAATAAAATATGTAAAATAATTTTTTCATTCAATTGCACTCATTGTCAGTGTGCACCAGTATTGCATTAGTTTTCCAAGTAAAAAATTCTACTAAAAATGTTAAATATAAGAAATATTAGTAAATGTTCAGAAGAGGTTCTGAAAAACTGCAAAGGGCACCGAGTAACAATTACAGAGATCAGTGAGAACGATATTAACATAGATTATAACATAGATTACAGGTGAATTATAAAATAGAAATGATGAGATAGTGAAATATAAGAATTTAATATTTGTACCCTATAATGAAATATATTTACATAATATGTATCTATCTGTAAATATAATAGCAAGTCATCGCTTGATTTCATTCCAACTATTTCTCAATACTTTTAAATCCCTACAATATCATAAAAATGAATATTTATAATCATGATATACACAATTAATTATCGTATTAATCTGATTGATGATTATGACTTATAAAAAAACAGAAAAAAGATCGTTAGTTATAGAAATTTTTGTTATAGAAAGATTCCATCTCTCCAAATTAAAAAACGGAAAACTATGTCGAAAAGATCACACAGCTAGACCAACGCGACAATTCTATATAATTATTTATGACGGATATTTCAATTCAACGCCGGAACTACATTCTTTCGCTGCCATGTTTGACGGAAATGTGAAATAAAAGAGGAAAGAATGCGTGACAAACGTGAGAGCGATACATAAACATTTCATATTTTCAAATGCTGCCGTCTCCGTCGACAATTGATAAAGGAGGGTATTAAAAAAGTGTCGATTTTCGCAAGTTACACCTGTATAGTATCTTGAAAAATCATTGACTGCGTTCAGCGGACTCAACAGTTGAATGAGCGTTCGCTATTATTGATGTATTCTCTCAGATTATCCAATCAGCATTTTAGATCTGGAAGAATACATCAATATATATAATAGCAGCGAGCTGAAAGCAGCCATTTTTGGAGTCCTCAAGACACAGGAAATAACAATCATTTATCCGAAAAGTGATGAGAACATTGCTAGAATGGCTTAAATAAATTTAATAATTCTCATCAACTTTGACTGTATTTTTGTATTACTTTTACTAAATAAAAATAGCGAATAGTTCTTCTAAAATTGATCATATTAAAAGATTAGGTGATTTTGAATTTGCAATTGCAAAGAATCTGATACATAGAGTATACAGAGTAAGAAAAAAATATGGAAACCTTGAAAATTTTGGAAAAATATAAAAGATATCGAAAAATGTTTCAAATGAAAGTGGAATAATTTCAAGAGGGACGTATTTTGTCATGTCATTATTTTTCTAGATAGAAGCACCAAAAAGATACAAATGCACGCAGAAGCAAACATTCTCTCACGAGGAGAAACTGTGCCGAATCAAAACGGGTGTTTGCAATCGCACTTGCGCGATCGAGTGACCAATGACTTTACCTATTATTATCAACAAGATAATGAGATAACATGACACGTCGGAATCGACAGGTGATTTTTGTTCCATTTGATTCTCAATAAATTTCTAATATAATAGCATCGCATAATTCAATTCGAACTTATTGTTCAGTAAGCTTATGGATGTGGGAATAAGAATAAACATGAGAATAATTTACGAGTCGAAAATTAGAGTTTAAAAATTAGATTCATCAAAACGAAAATTACGTCCAATGAAAAATACAGTGCAATCGATTGCGGTAGCACAAGACGTTAAATGCGCAGAATATTTTACGATCAGAATGGATCAAAGGACAAAAAAAATTTTAATTGTTTTTATAGAAACGTAAATTGCTAAAAAATATTTTACTCTACGAAAGGAAAGTATTCGTAAAATTCGGACATTATTATGATGTACATTATGTGATAAAACGTTTCTGTTTTATAAACGGTAAAAAATTACAGATTTGTCAAGAAAAGGAGGGTAGAAATTTCCGAAATGACAAACGTTATAATATAAAATATCTAATTAGCGTTTTGTGGAGCAATATTATTCACAACTAATCTAGCTTGGAATTAATTTCATAAATAAATTGTTAAAGTATAACTGATAGTGATTTTATAACAATGCGAATAAGGATTTTATTCACTTTATTTCAATGTATCAATTTTTCCTTAAATCTGATGTTATTAAAACAATTATTTTCGGGTTTTATAAAGAAAAAAAATACATAACAAAACACAGAAATAAAACGATACCCTAGCGGTGACAAAACTCTCAAAAAGTTCTATCCTTCTTTTTTCAAAATTTATCAAGGAATGAAGTCGCAAGCGAATTTTATCGCAATCAAAAAAACAGAGCTTCCATCGTAAAATGCTCCATCCTGACTTTCATTCATGTTGATTTTATTTGCGATACGACTAAAATTTTGTGAATTCAGACGGGCCTGATAGGTATAGTCTAGGCTTCGCGAGACAATTTGTAAAAATTGCAAATTAAGCCCATACACACGCGCGGGACATTCGCGTAGGCAGGCCTTCTCTCTTCCCTGCCTACACACACACGGCCGGTTTATTCGCCATTGTTCCACGGCGTTCAGTCGTCTGGACAGTTTTATGTAACACGATTCGTGTAATCGCGATCTTACTTCGCCGGCGTAAAAGAGGATACGGCCTCAAAGATGGCCTCTCTCCGCCGCTGTCAAATTCGCGGCGCCATGAAAAGCGTCGAGATGAAACACGGGACACCAGTGTCCCACCCGTTTCGAAAAAAATCTCAAATTAATTAACAATTCAGTCAGTACTCACGACAATTAGCACGATGGTGTTAGAGGAGCCTGCGTGTGACGCGCGAAGCCCAGCGGAGTCTTACCACCTGATGTGATGCCCGATGAGCACTATCCTACACGCGCCACTTCTTCCGTGCACTACACCGTTTGCGGAAAAGGTTTTGTGCGTTGCGTTTATCACAAGCGTAACCGCGAGCACGAGGTCGTTCGAGACGCGTGTCGTTGCGCCTGAGAGAAACGCGGTCACCACCTACGCTGTAAACAGCTGTACATTGGCTGAATCGGAACACAGTGTGAGTTTGATCGACCACGATCAGTTGTCGTAAACACTGGTCGCCATGCTACCAAGGCACCTGTCAATACGCACGCGGCGCGCACCATCTTGCGCACGACCGTTGGTACCGCGCTGGCGCCTGCAGATGGCATGTACAATATTGCCACTATGGCGTTGCAAGCGTTAGTTGTGGCGCTC